TAAGAACAAAAATCTCCTCTTCATGCTAGAGCTGAGTGCAAGGAGGGGTCCCTCACCCCCGCACCTTCCTCCTGACTCAGCACAGCTACATCATTCCTATTACTTTGCTGAGGCCCAGGGCTCACGCTGTCCCATGACTGTTTCTTACATGTTACATACCTGCCACCATATACACACCTTGTTTGGAATCCTGCTTATTCATTTACAAATGAAATTGACACGTCGTTATGCAATCTTTCCTCAAATGTCATTTTAGTAGCGTGCAGTCTTCCTGCGCAGAGGTGCAGTAGTCTGCTGCTCTTAATCACCCCCTCTTGTGGCTATGTGGTTGGCGTGGTGCTTTGGCTGCTAGCAAATGTTGCCATGAGCAGCTTCATGAACAAATCTTTGAATTTCGGATTATACACTTAAGATCAGCAATGCGATAATTGGGTCTAAAAGAATGTAAACACAAAGAAAAGAGTTTTCAGGTGGGAAACCATAGAGAGGAGAGTTACATATCTATCAACAAACTTCAAGCTGGAATTCACATTGTAAAGAGGAAGTGCACTGAATCAAATTAATGAACTCTAATGGTAGAACTTTAGAGTAACAGCTTGGGTTGAAAACGCCCTGGAATGCAAACACTCTGGCAGCAGTGGGGCTTGCCGGCTAATACCTCTCAAGTCACACAAAGCAGGTAACCTTGCTGTGCAGAGGAAGCTGCCTCTTCATCCTCGAAAAGCTTGCTGGCCACAAAGGCACTCCGGAGATGCTCTGACCATCGAGTGACATCACACTCCTTGAGCTTCACTACAAGGGGCATCTAATCAGGAATACTAGCGGTGACCAAGGTCGTCTAACCACCAAGGCAGATGAGTGGGTAGCGGAGTCAAAGGCTGAGCAGCGATCGCTCGCTCGCTCTTCATAAAGTGACAGTGACCTGGAGGCCGCTCCAGAGGGTGAGTGAGGAGAGGACATGTAAGAGTGTGTGCAAACTCTGTGCTTTAACATGTAAGAGTGTGTGCAAACTCTGTGCTTTAACATGTAAGAGTGTGTGCAAACTCTGTGC